TGGAGTTGCTAATCACAGTGCACATGGGAAACTGTACAGGGTTTTTTTCTTTTAAAAAACATAAACGATGCTTCAAATGCATGTTTCTTGCAGATTGAGCAATGTGTATGGGCAACTGCCTTTCCCATGTACAAATACTAACTATATTCGTATTATTTATTTATTTATTTATTTATTTATTTATTATTTATTTATTTATTTATTTATTTATTTATTTATTTATTTATTTCATACACTGCTTATCTTGCTTAGATTTAGGATTGCTAGATAAATTGAAGTTGAAAAGCCAAGAGAAAGAAGAAAGGAAGAGATTGTGAGTAAATTAATCAATATGCACAAATTTGGGAAGACAGTAATTCAATGGGGGAGGCACCTGAAGATGAACAATCATTCAGAGTAGAAGGAAAAAAGAAAAAGAATAGCAAAAAAAAAATCATGAGAAATGCCAAGAAGCTATAATTATACAACACATTAATCCATAACCCATCGTTAAATAATCACAGTGGGTGTGCTAAACCGATATATGGAAATCACATTAGAGTCTCATTTTATTTGGTTCAGAAAGGAATCAGAAAACCACAACCACTCTGAAATAGCACAGCTATGTAATGAGAATGGACCTTAATAATAATAAAAAAATATGCATGTATTTAAATTAAGTTTTAAAAGGAAGACGTTTCCCAATCTTTCCATTCAAACTCAAAAACAAATTGCAAAAGTTTACAGGTCCATGAATCAGCATACTTGCTTTACAATATTTTTGTATCTTAACTATAGTTAAGGTGAATACATACTAAGGGGTGGTTTATTTAAACTGAGGAATTAGTAAACATCTTAATGAATTTAGTCAAACACACTTGGCTTTAAATTTTGATTTCCCTGCGCAGTGAAAGAAAACAAAACTAGATATCTTACTGATTTAAAATATGTATACATTTAATAAGGCCTATGTACAGTTCACAGAGCCTTGGGAATTATCTGATCATATGAAACACATCTAGTGCATAACTGAAATGGTCAAACTAGAACAGGGGTGTCAAACTCGATTTCATTGAGGGCTGTATTTGTGTTTGATGTCGTGGGGAGTGGCCAATTCAACATTACTCATCGAGGCTCCGTTTTTTGCCACAATGGCCTCCTGCAGCCTTCTGCCAGCAAAAATGGAACCCAGGGAGACTGTGAGTGGCCCGCCTGGGCTCCATTTTCATTGGCAGAGGGCTGCAGGATGCCATTGCGGCCAAAAACAGGGGGCAGACCATATGTGGCCTCCCCGAGCTCCATTTTTGCTGGCAAAGGCACTGTGGGCCAGTCCTTCACTGTTTCCAGGGCATCCCTGCGGGCCATATCTAAGCATCCCACAGGCTGGATTTGGCCCACAGGCATTGAGTTTAACACCCTGAAATAGAACATGACTTTGGTTTTCTTTTACAAAACAGTTTGTGAACTGAGTGGATTGAACAGTCCAATCATTTGTGAAACTAAAGCATGATCATGTTGCTTGGCCTTACTACAGGTAGTCCTTGAGTTACAAGTTTGTTTAGTGACCTTTTAAAGTTACAACAGCACTGAAAAATGTGATTTATGACCATTTTTCACATTTACAACTCTTGCAGCATCTCCATGGTCATGTGATCAAAATTAAGACACTTGGCAATTGGCTTATATTTATAATGATTGCAGTGTCCTGGGGTCATGTGATTATTTTTTGTGACCTTCTGACAAGTAAATTCAATGGGGGGAGCCAGATTCACTTAACAACCATTTTACTAACTTAACAATTGCAGTGATTCATTTAACACAACTTTCTTAACACAAGAAAGTTCATCAAATCAAACTCGCTGAACTGTTTTGCTTACCAATAGAAATGTTGGGTTTAATTGTGGTCATAAGTCAAGGGCTACCTGTATTATATGAGAAAAATATATACAGTTGCTATATTATATAGTTAATTGCAAATGCAATATTTGCATATGGAATCCAGGCATGGGTATTGGAGTTATTATGATGAAATGGATTATAATTTGAACATTCTGTTTGCTTCATTATTATCGTTCTATTAACACTTCAGATTTTGTGTCACATCTGCTGCAATATTTTTTAGTTCCCTAAACTTTAGCTTTCAAAATAGGTTTGACTTGACAAAGCACTACATGATTTATTAAAGATCACTTTGAAACTAAATTGAAATATTCTCACCCTGAAGTGGATATTAAAGGCATATATCAGTTCTTAACCTGTCAGCACTGGTTGCCTACTATTTCTACAGAGGCATTCTCTCACTTCCAGTTTGCTCTAAAACCACTCAAATTAAAATTTAAAAGCACGTCAAGGGGAAAGCAATCTTTTTATACTCATCATGAAGGTAATTGAATAAGCATTGAGGTGCTCAGCCATTTTTCTGTTCAAGTAACTGTTATTATCTTAAATAAAAAACTCAACAGGAAGATATATTGTTTATCAAGCCGAATTCTTGGAGACAGGTGGCATTCCTGTGCTATTAACTCAAGAGGACATATTAATTCCTTTCAGATCACTTTTTTACCTATAGATCACTTTTTGAGTTTTTCATTTATCTGCACATCACAGTATCACACTATTATTTCTGTATCAATACAACTAATAATTTAAGGATGAAAGAAATCTTAAAAACCAACTGGTATTACTACTACTTTCTACTTGCAACTGAAAGACCTCTTGTCCATTCATATGACGTCAATTTTAAATGAGCATTTGTGGTCTTTTTTACTGAGTAGATGTAATTTGCTTAAATTATAAGAATAGCCTAAAAGCTTCCACATTCTGTCTTTCAATAAGTGGCAAGGAATGTTCTATGCTGGTCTATGGCTCCTGTGCTCCCCTGGTTGTTTATTTGTTTGTTTTGGCAAAACCCACATTTCTTGTGTCGAAGTTTAAACTATTATTCTGACTTAAATTGTAACAGCTTTTATGACAATCTCTTTTTTTTAAAATAAATAAATGAAGGGAAAATTTATTTATTCATTCATAGCAATAGCACTTAGACTTATATACCGCTTCATAGAGCTTTCCAGTCCTCTCTAAGCGATTTACAGAATCAGCATATTGCCCCCAACAATCTGGGTCCTCATTTTACTGACCTTGGAAGCATAGAAGGCTGAGTCAACCTTGAGCCTGGTTAGATTCGATCCACCAAACTGCTGGCAATCAGCAGTCAGCAGAAGTAGCCTGCAATATTGCATTCTAACCACGGCTCTAATAGAACTTATATGGTAATCTCATAGCGTGATCAAGGAATTCATAGCAGTGGTGGGATTCAAATTTTTTTACTACCCCGGTTCTGTGGGCGTGGCTTGGGGGCATAGTGTGGCTTGGTAGGTGTGGCAGGGGAAGGTTACTGCAAAATCCCAATTTCCTTCCCACCCCAACCTGCTTTCCAGCTCCGTTCTCCTGTGTAGGACAACAAAAGAAGACCCAGCTGATCAGCTGGAACTCAGGAGGCAGAGAATAGATGGGGACAGGGCCAGTCGGAGGTGATATTTGCCGGTTCTCCGAACTACTCAAAATTTCTGCCACCGGTTCTCTAGAACTGGTTAGAACCTGCTGAATACCACCTCTGACTCATAATAACTAATCAAAGCAGACTATACCCAGATTATATTCTTCCCACCAGGCACCAAATCACCAAATGTTGACCCCCTGACTCAACTCCATTTTACTCCAATGGTGGGAGAAGAATCAAACCTTTACCCACTTCTGGAAGGCTGAAAGTATAAACTCCTCTTCCCCACCCTCAAATTTTAGGCGGGAGGCTATTTCAGTGAGCTGGATTAACTATGGAAAAAGCACATTTTTGAGATCTCACCACATTACAAAGTGTAAGGGAAGAGATCTGGAGTGTGTTCACCCTGTGGAATAGGAAGATATCCTCAGGAAGAGGTGGTTCCACAAAGAGCCTAGTCTTGTGCCATGTAGGGTATTACAGCTGATAACAAGCACCTTGATTGTACCCAGAAGCAAATGGGGGATGACAGCATCACCCATGAAAACCACAGTGTAACATGGACAAACTGTGAGTCACCCAAACTTGTACATTTTGTTATATTCTGGAAGTTGCATCTCCCAGATGGTCTAGGTGGTATTCATCTAGAGCACACTGAAGTCATCCAATCCAGGTGACTAAGGCATGAGTAACCGTGAGCACGACTGCCAGGAAAGGGTACCATTGAAGCACAAGATGAATTAGTGCAAAGATCCCTCTGATCATGGCTGCCGCCTGCTCTTCCAGCAGGAGGCACAAGGTCAGGAAGGATCACCCTGATGTTATGTGTTGAGAGCAGGCAACAGCATTTCATTTTTAATGTGGGCCAACAATAAAGTTATCTGATCTTATTTTATCACTACCACCTTGCAAATCAGACTCTGATTCAAAAGAGCTCTCCTTGATAAAGTAGCCAAGATACACTTGGGAATATAGGTCTCCATAAATCAAAAGACTAGCATCTCAGCATCTGCCAAAATTTGCCACCTTCCCTTCAGAAGAGGAACTGGTGACTGTCTTTCTTACTGGGAAGTAGTATCGGGGACTCCACGCATAACCTGAAGTGGTGCCAGGCAATGAGGGCAGCGCCCAGCAAGCTAGCATAGGGTCCAGAGGGTCCACACCAGCTTAACGACTCAACCCAATCAGAAGGAAGAAGTCCTATTGGCTTCAGTTAGCTTTACTTATGGGTAACGATTGCAATCCTCCTTGCACTCAGAGCCCGGAGAGCCTCGCAGGATCGGCCTGCCGCCTTTGCTAAAGAGATACATTTGCTGTGGCCTGAGAAACAACTAACAGCAGGCCCAACTGTTAACGCCGCGGCGGCAGAAGTTTTGATAGTTTTGCGCTCCCTCCTCCTCTCCTGCTTGCCGAATCCAACGCAGACGGGACTCTGCTCTCTCCCAGGATCGTGCCAATGTTTTCCCCGCCTCCTTCCCATCGGCTCCGGAGCGGCAGGTGGCGCCGTCCGCAGTTTGCACAGGAAAACAGCCTGGCGGCGGGTAGCTTGCGAGGAGGCCCGCTGGTCAAAGGACGACGGGGCGGGGCTCGCATTTGCAGTCGCCGCCTGGCCCAGAGTGTTGCAGGCGGGTCGGGATGGGGTTGTGCCTGCCCTGCCTGGGGGGAGCTGCCGACCAAGTGGTGGAGACGCCGGACCCAGTAAGTGGGGCGAGATCGGGCTGCCGAAACTCGTTCCGTGACGGCTGGGGGTTTCTTCTTCTCCCTTTTGGCTTCTCTGGGCAATCCCAGATGTCGTTCGGCGTCCGGCTTCCGAAAAAATTCAGATTGATTTTTTTTAACCCTCCTTCATGCAACATCCCTAAATTGCCTTTAAATCTTCGCCGAGCTTCTCCCTCCCCCCCTTTGTTTATTAATTCTTAGATTACGTATTTTTTTAAAAAAAAAACAGCTTTGAAGTACGAGCAAAGCCCGGTCTTTTCCAGGGTCTCTCCAAAAACCAAGCCCTGTTGAGTTTATTTACTCCCAGGTTCCGCCTTGTAATATTAAAAAAAACACTATGTGCTTTGTGGTCCAAAGTAAACGGTTCAGTTCAGGATCAGTTGTTTCTTTTCAAGTTAACGCGTGTCTGTTTTATTATTTACTTATCTTTTCTTTGCACACTGGACGAGCCAGATCAGTGTGTACCCAAAGGTCTCAAAATTGCAGTGCCAGTGATCTATGCTACATAAGCACAAATATATATATATATAACAATGACAGTGCCATCTTTCAAAAGCACCAAAGGAAGAATAAAACGTAGGATGCATAAGCCCTGCTGGAAAAAGCCTGTTGTTTTCAAAACATATGATTTATTCCCCGGGAATGTCAAATAATTGCTTGGTTATAGCTTTCAGATTTCTTTATAAAGGAAATGATCTGGGTAGGAATGTCATTCTTTATGAAGTGTTTGGGGTGGCATGAGAATACTCTGGTGTGTGCAGCTGGCTTTGATGGAGAGTTAATAAAACCTAAGCTACAAACAAAAGCAAGTCCTTCATTTTCTGTGATTGGATTTTATTCCATAGTTGGTGTGCATAGCATTGGAGGTTTGATTGAAAAAAACTGAGGAGATGCCAGATAGGCATGTGAATTCAAGGAGAGTTAATGCACTTCCAGCTTACTGAAAGGTCCTCACACAATAACTTCCTTATTTCAGAAGAGTCAACTAACTAGTTTTTCTTTAATTCACAAGATCCAAAAGTTTAGAGGTTTGGAGTCAACATGTGTTGGAGAACATGCTGTGGGCTTTCTCACAAAATGGTATGAAGGGCTATTCAGCCTATTCCGAAAAGAATTGTCATGGGGTCCAACCAATTAAAAGCCCTTCATAGCATGGAGCCTGAATATTTGCAAGATTTTTCTGCCTCAAGTTATTCTACCCATCTGAAAAATTACAGCTGAATTGGAAAGCTTCAGGTTGCATCTTTATTGACTGCCTCTGCCCTCTAGAATAGTATTTATCCCAAAGTCTGCAAAATTCTGGCCCTGTCTGACTTCAGCAGACTCCTAAAGTCTCAGCTTTTTCCACAGTGGGGGCGGGCCGCATGTACAGGGTGCATGCATACATTGCATGTTGTTGATAATTGTTTGGCTTCTACCCTACCCACTCTGTTGTAGCCACCTCTATATTTTTTATGTTATTGTTTTTAATCATTGAAAGCCATCCAGAGTTGTATATAAGAGACCAGCTGTGGAAGTTGAAATTATAAATAAATAAATATATTCACTGATATAAGCACTAATTTGCTAGAAAGCTATTTGTGATCTTCTTTTATCTGTCCTTGCCACAAAATGCTGTGCATTAACCCTCTTTCTTGTGGCAAGCAGGCACAGCTGCACAATATGGAGTTGCAGCCATCATTTGAATCTTCTAAGATATTTTATGGGAGCTATTTAGGGGGAAGAGGCATTCTGGGAATATCTCAAGGGGATCCAAAAACATTTTTTCCCATGATAGAGTGAAAGTTTCTTCAACCAAACATGCTTATAATCTTCCACATTATTCTTCTAAATGTACAATACACAAAAGTTAGCAAGGAAAGTCACCGAAATTCAACCCTATATCCTATTACCAAGAACAACCACATTAAGATTGTAATGCAGCTGATAAATATTCTTGCAAGATCCATATTGAAAGCCACCCAAATCATTGTAACAGTGAGACGAGCATCATGTAAATTTAAAAAAATAATAAAATAATAAAATAAATATTATCAGAAAATCTGCCTTTTTCTATGCAAATTTAATTCCCAATGGTACATACTTAAATTGAAGATGAGACAAGCTGGTTTATTTGATTTCTGACTATTGGCTGGAATTTTGATTGGTCCAAAACAGAAGTAGCAAACTCAATATTAAAAGTCGCTAACAAAAAGGGTTTTTCACTTATTCAGCTGGAAGCACCGTTTAGTCTTTCATATGTGTAGTTTAATGACCTGTGAAATGTTTCTGCTTGGTTTTATGTGGATAAGAGAACCACCAGCGGTGGAAGTACATGGCTCCTTATGGTGACTCGTGATTTCTCTCTGGCAATTCTCTTTGTCAACATTAAATAAAATGAGCAGAATTGGCATTTTAGAAAAATGAATGCTTATTTCTAGGATTTTGAAAGGTTCTAACACATTTGGAAAACACTTAGAAAATCGCGCCTTTTACCTCTGCATAGGTGATGTGAAATACCTTTGTAATTATTTTTATATCTTTTCTTCAGGAAATTAGAAGGCAGCAACTTGCAGAAGCAGCAGAAAAAAGACAAATGGAGGTAATTGGATATTTGGAAGAGCAATAGATTAAAAGAAAACCTTCTCGTATAATGAATGTGAACATTAGAAAGATCTTTCCTGGAAACAGCATCTCTTAAGAATGTGCAAGCTGGTCATTATTATTCTATTGACAGTGGAGTTTGTCTTAGGTTATACTGAAACTCAGCACTGCAACTAACTTTCCAAAAAATAAGTACCCAGTGCTTATTAATGAGAAGTAGTAAGATCATGGATATTTGTAGTAAGAAGTGAGATAATGTTTGCAACGGTGTTAGGGGAGCTGTAATTTATAGAGCAAGACCTGCAGATTAACAAGCTCTTATGTCTAAAACAATCCAAATATCAATGGTGTCCTTGAAGAAACACAAGAAGAGGTAACAGAAGTAGCTCAAATTTATTATTCCAGTACATATGGAAAGGAATGGGGTTGAGAATCTCAAGATTAAATGTGCAGGCGTCAGTGACTTAAATAAAGCAAAAATACCAAAGTTTAGGATTCCTGACAGATTGGTATTCTTTCAAAGACACTGCCTAAAAACTTTGCCCTAGTTAGTATTTGAATGTTGCCCAAAAAGGTAATACTTAAAATGACTCTTTGCTTGAACCAATCCATTTCTTTATGGTGGGACGTCTTCCATTTGATGCTCTCAACACTGCTATATACATTTTTCTGGTGCAAATCCCTCCCTGCCGTCACCATTATTACAAAAATTCTCTTTGTAGTAAAGGAGAGAGCCTGTAAAATAATACCAAAATCATGAGTTTTTTTAAAATCACACATTTAGTTTTGGCATAAGATGGGGAGGGGGAATAAATGCAAGTTAAGACAGCTTTTTCAAGTATTTCCTGACACATTCTGGAAAAAAAATCTTAATTTCTGTCTGGTGTTTCATGCCTCTTCTGTGAATTTAAAGTATTTTAGGGTAGTTTTTCCACAAAAACTATCACGGCTGAGTTTGTAGTTAGCTTTAAAAATGAGTGGCAAATGGGGATTATCCCCCAAAGTAAAAGGGAAAACTAGCTAGTCTTTTGCAGACATTGTAGATTTAGATAGGGCAAAGAAAATGTGGATATCCTCTCCATGATTACAAGTCCTAGACCCCTTCTTTTAAAATAAGAAAATGTTTGTTCCTGCTTCATTCTCTTCTGTTCTATGCTAGACTTGAATAGATAGGTTCAGTTCTATAGAAAAGAAATAACTGCAGGCAGAAGCAACAGCTAACAGGCAATTTCAGTTTTTCTTTTTTAATATGGAAGTGCAGTGGGTGTTGTTTTTTTTCCAATTCTTCAATGGAATGACAAGTTTTGCCTTTGCTTTTTAGCAGGTGTCAAATTCCAGTCAGTTGCTTTTTAACATCTGCATTAGAGAATGTGAACAGGAATAGCATGCGTAAGACAGTTGTGACTGATGGACTGCCGATAAGTAGCAATAATCCCATTTATCAAAGGAAGAATATCTATAGCATATTTTCTCACCCATATTTTATAAGAATCACCTGATCAGTGAAATGGGTGGCATGTACATTTAATGAATAAATAAAAATAATAAAATAGCCATTTGTTGGGGAAGAAAAACCCTACTGAGAATTGCTTCTCGAGGCTTCAAAATATGCTTCCTGGCCCTCCTCATTTCTGGGGTGTGTGTGTGTGGGAAACGCTTCCAAAAGCTTTTTTTCCTTATAGGATTTTTTTTTGTTGAAATCCATGCTTTTACACTTATATGTTATCACTCTTCTAAATAAGTATGTAAATTTAATACAGATATGTTAGAGTTCTATATGGAATACAGATTAGAGAACTAAATTTATTTTAATTATGATTTTAGAAAAGTGGGATGTAATGTAATAATGTGCCCTGTTGTTTCTTTCCAAAGGCTGCGTCTCGTGGTATTAAGAATCTCTCTTCTGTGGAACAAAAAAAACGAAAACAAGAAGAAATGGAGAAACGTCTTGAATCTGGAAGCCACGAACCAGAAAAAGGCAATCTAAGGGTAAGAATTGAAGAATCAAATTTGGATGGATAAGATCAAAGGCTAGGCTTTTCCAGCCTATTTCTTATATTGCTAGTCTAATGGAAGGCTCTTTCTTCTGACTTTTTTTTCTCAGTATCTCATAAAATGTGTCAATGTACCTGGCTTGATATCAGTCACTCTTATGGATCTTTTGAGTGTCTCTTTAGGATAAATTTTAGCATTTGGGCCAGACAAATCGCTTGGACAGATAGATTCCTTAAGCTCTGTTCACACATTTGCTCCCATGTTCACAGTATATGATGGCTTAATCAATTTTCTTGTCAAGATCATTGCTTTTCCCCCCCTTGTGTATAGATTTGAGATAGAGCCTCAAGGTAGAGATGTCTGTAAGTTGAGTTATGGCAATTCCTTTTTTTTTGTTTATTTGTTTGAAACATTTTGCTGCTTACCCAAGTCGCTTCTTCAGACTAACAGACATTTCAAGCCAAAAAAGAAAAGTCCATTTGCCATGGCTCAACTTACAGACAACTCTAACTGCATGACTGAGAATTTTCACCAGCATTGAGTGCGAGCCTGTCAGGGCGATGGAAGGGCAGTTCTGAAGCGCTCCCATCTTCTTTGGATAGAAATTCCATTTAAAATTGAAATAGCTAGACTAATGTCAGGATATAAGTGTGATGGATTCATGCAGACTTTATTTTAAATGTGATCATTGTAATTGCTGTATAAATCTTCACTTCTTTTGCACAACAACTTCTCCTTGTATCTGAAAATGCACTTGCTTCCTTTACATATATTATTACATATATTTGTTCTTCTTCAAAATGCTATATTTAAGGAAGATTTTTCATAATCTGAAAGTAGCCTGGAAAGGTGGGATGGGGATTGGAATAAAACAAGGTTATGCTCGCAGGTGAGAAATTGAATAATGTCCTTACGCGTAAAAAGTAGCTAATATTCATTTCTGTGTTTTTGCTTTTAGTGGCAGGTTGGATAAAATACTGAACTGCTTCAGAATGAAGAAGGGTGAAGCTTTGTCCTGCCAATAACTTGCCGGTTGCTGCAGATGAATTAAACTTGTTAATTGTTTGACGTTTAATTGAAGATGCAGCAGTATTTTGCCATTGTAGCAGGGTAGCTGACATACATGCACTAAGGATGAAACAACACTTCACAATACCCAGCAAAGGTGCCCCAATCACTTCCTGTTTGTGTTGCCATAGTGTGTAACGTTGCATGTCTAAATGTACTGGAGGGTTGAATTATGGGAGTTACTTATGTAAACAGATGCCATTTTTATTCCTTTGTGATCATGGGGAACAATTCGGTTTTCCAAAGTGCCCTTTGTTAAACTTGTTTCCATCTCACCCCATGTTATACTTGTGTGATTCAGTTCAATCCAGTCCACAATCCTTGAATCCCTCACAGTGGATTAAATGACTGGAACAAACAGGCTTGTTTTAAGAGTAAGAAATTTAGAATCAAAGCTTTAGTGCCTTCTGCTGGTTACACATTTAACTGCTGCATTGCCATGAGGTGAAAAATCCCTATCCTTGTGTCTTAAGTTTACACGTTATGCCTATGTGCAGGATTTACAAAAATACAGGCCGAAATACTGGACTCTATTTTTTTTAAATAAACAAGTGAAAGAATACCTACAGGTGTTCTGCTTTACCACTTGGGTATGCAGTTTGGAAGAAAAACTCATGAAAAGACAGCTGTATGATCCTACTTTTTTGTGATGAAATTTCTTTATAAAAATTACTTAATTCTTAAAAACTGGTTCGAGAACATTATTCTGCAGATACAGGCAGTGTAAAAATATATTTATAATGTCATTCATATTAACAATACTGGAATAAATATAAATATATTATGTGACCTTTGCAGCTTATCTGGAAGTGACGTAAAAAGAAACAGTACATTTGTTGAACTTCTAAACTAATATAGGAAATGTTCAGACATCTTGAATTTTAAGCAAGGAGTAGTGTTGACTTTTATGAGAGAAATGAAGGTGCAGTTTATCTTGCTTTGTATCAGAAATAAAGATAATTGCTTCTTATTCCCAGTATTACAAATATTGATTTTTTTGAAAAAATGCTTTAGAAATATATTTAAAAGTTATGACAAGTGTTGTATATGTAGAGATATGTCTGAGAATAAAATGTGCAAATTAATTATTTTTTTTCTGATTTTTTTTAAAAACCCACCCTCCAAAAGGGAATTTGCAGACACAGCATTTAAGCAAAAGGTATTATAGGAGTAGCGTGCTATCTACAGTATCCCCTGCCATTTGTTCCCTAGTAGATTCTCAACATATTAAAGACCAATATATATATATATATATCACCAAACTAGTGACTCTGAATTGGTTCTAATGTTGCCCTGAAAACATGAATGGTTAATAGATAGCACCCCTTGGTAGACATTCCTAGTATATTAAAAGAACATTCTATTGGTCTTTAGGATCTTTAAATAGTGCTTGACCAAATGTGTAACTTAGTTATTGATTGCAAGTAAATTGATTTATGCAGTTACTCTAAAATAAGGATGAGCAATTTGAAGGCCATATGCTGCAAACACTTTCCAGCTTTTAATTTACAATCTTGATGCATCCTGATGGAATGTTTATGAAAAGACTAATTTTGGTTGCATATGTTCTTCGTTAAAAAAAAACAGAAGTGGTGTAAGGTGTATGTGAGATCAAAGTCAATTTCCAACCTTAAGATCAATGATGAGGTCATCATATTGTCAGGTCCACCTTGGTCCTTTCTCCAGTTGGGAAAGTTGAATTGCAGCCTCTGTCCTATAAATAATTCTCTACTTCTGCTCTAAAATATGATAAGGCATCTGGCTTTACAAGTACAGTACAGTCAAATACAGTACATTCTTTGCTTTTTGTTCCCTGAGCATTGCCTATTATTGATTCCTTCTGAGTAGCCTTATGGCCCCAGGACAGATATCCCACGTAACCATTTATTGCGGGCACATTTTCATGATGTTGTCCCATCTTCTCCTGAAAACCTCCAGCAATGGAGCACCCACAACTCAGAAGGCAAGCTGTTGCATTGTTAATTGTTCTTACCATCAGGAAATTCTACTTTATTTCCAGGTTGAATTTCCTTCTGATGAGCTTCCACCCATTGTTCTAATGTAAAAGTGGTGTTTTCTGTGATATGCCAACATTCCATATGGACATGGAATCATGCATAGAGGAAGCAGCTTAAGATAAACCTAGTGGAGGTTAGCAATCTGATTGGTATGGTCTGCCATGGCAGCTGTGGGGCCAATCCTCTTCTGTTTTGTTGCTGGGCTGTGCAGTGTTATTTTGATTGTAAGGGAGACCAGTTTCCATAATCAATATTTTTGTATCCTTTGTGTGTTGGGAAATCCACCCCAACATCTTGGACAAACAAAAACAACTTTTCAAATAAGCCTAATGAAAAATTAAATGGAATTCCCACCAGTGCTGAATTATCCATTACTCAAGGTCTTTTCCGAATGGGAGCAATTGTGATTAAAATGTTGTGTTGTATCAGGGCTATTCTTACGGATAGAGCAATCCCAATTTTGGAGACTTAGTTTTTAAATGATTGCAAAATTCAAGTAGGTTTATTATGCAAATTAGGAGGGGAAATGACTTCTTAGAAGTGTTTTTAAAGTATCTTTATTTCTAATACACTCTGTGATTTCAGCTAATCACATCATTTATACAGTCACCATTCAAATAATTATTGAACAATGATGTCTTTATTTTCCCTAGCAAGGCACAAAGTTATCAAGTATAGTCAAGGAAAATTAGCAAAACGTATAACCCAAATCCCAGCATTTGCATATATCACAGAGATGTGTATGGCAATCCCCTTCATGTTATTTATCTATAAAGAATGCACATATTATTTTCATTTCTTTTCAGTATGTCCAAATATAATGGAATTCAGAAGCAGAGAGGGTCAACAGGGTCAACAGTCTACATATATGTGTGTGTGTGTGTGTGTGTGTATGTTTTCTTAAGTTTTTGCGGGTATCTATATTATGGTATTCAGCTTTGTTCAGGTATTTTCCCACGTCATTATAGTTGTGCTTTTAAAGTTGTAGCAACGTTTCAGCAGAATCTCATCTGCCATCATCAGGCTTCTGTATTGTGTTTGTCTGTGAGTCAGACTTTTACAGTTGTTTCAGTTTTAAATTTGGGGCTAGCCTACTGTTGTGCCAGAATGGTTTTTTTCTTCATCCTGATTGGTTGGGAGTCTTGGTCTGTGTTTATTGGTCTTGGAGTTTGCTGTGTTCTGCTTGATTGGTGTTTCTATTATCTTCTAATATCTTCTAATATTAGAAACACCAATCAAGCAGAACACAGCAAACTCCAA